TTGAAAGGCTGGGGCCAAAATGTTGGCTAATCATGCAGCCCTTCCTTTTCTCCAATTTTGATCTGCTAACTTAGGTTGTTAACCCTCCAGAAGAGAAGCTAATTATCAACCTGCAATATATGCAGTTTGGTTTACCCTATCTGTCGAAATATCAAACATTTTGGCATATCATGGAACAGGTATTTTCCATCAGATATTGATATGTTAAACTTTGTCTTTACAGATTATGAAGGAAAAATAATTATATAAAAGTAGAAATAAGCATTTACATATTTTTACAAATAAATTTAGAAACCTAACCATATACAGAATTGTAAGTCCTTATACTAGAGAGACAATACGGTATTTACAGATGTGGGTCTGGTTTATTTCACTAATGAGTATATCTTCAAGGGGTATCCACTTAAATATGAAGGCTTCAAGTTTACCATTCTTTATAGCTGAGTAGTACTCCATTATATAAAAGTACCACATCTTTTTCAATCATTCCACATGTGACGGGCATTTTGGTTGTTTCCAAGATTTGGCTATTACAAATTGTGCTGCTATAAACATAGGCACACATATAAAACTATGATATGACGCTTTCAGTTCCTCTGGGAAAATTCCCAGTAGGGGGATAGCAGGCTTGAATGGGATTTCGAGTCCTAGTTTTCTAAGGAGTCTCCACACTGATTTCCATAATGAGCACCATCATTCTAAATAGGCCCTTGGAGTCTACATCATTTCCCTTCTTAAATGCACATTGGACTCCAAAAGTTGCTCTCCCTCTTTGCCACGTATCCTTCATTGCCAGCTCAGTCTGGCTCTCTTAAACTGGTGTCCCTTAGTAACTGAAAATCTTAGGCCCACTGCAACCTAAGCCCAAGATGCTGGAGTTGTTTTAAGGGATATTGACTATGAGACCCAGAGCAAGGTCTTGAAATCTGTGTGTCGTAGCATGCTCTCTGGGTGAGGTGTTCTGTTCTGTTTTGTTTTTCTAGTACTAGGGGTTGAACCTAAAGGTACTGTACCACAAAGCTATACCCCAATTCCCTTTTTCCTTTTTAAAATTTTAAGTTGGTGTCTCCCTAAGTTCCCCTTCCAAGGAACTTGCAATGCTTCTGCTTTAGATCCCTAAGAGCTGGGATGATAGGAGGCATCAGTGTTCCTGGCTTTCCTCAAGATTGAACTACCAAGCTGGACAGTTTGGACAAAGAAACAGATTAATTCAAGCTGCTTTACTTCTCACTGAGAGTGGAAATCAAGTGTCTGAGGAGGAATTCTGCGTCTGCTAGAACTAGAAATTGATTTTGATAACCTATTGCTTATAGTAGTTTTTAAATCTGAATGCACCTATTAATTTTCTGGAAATACTTTGCATGAGGATAATCAATCTCAGTGAGGAATGAGCCCCTGCAGTTCTAAGAAGGTCTCAGGTGATGCCAGGGTGGGTTTATCTACCACATTCTGAGGAGCAAAGACATGAACCACCACAGAAGTAATTAGCCATTTTTGTGTTTCCTGGAGAAAGGAATTAACGGTGGAAGGATTTTAGGAAATTCAAATTCAAGATATGTTGAATGAGATGGAAATATTTAAATACCAACCCAGGAAGTGATTGCTACAAGTCATTAATAATCAAAAGACTAGTAGAATGATGGGAGAGTAGACATTTGTTTTTGGTGAGAGCAAGCTATCTCCTAAATAGTCAAGTGGGAGTCATTACGTCCCTCACTGCCATCCCACACCTAGCCCAAGGAGAGGAATCACAGTTGCTTCCTATACATTGACTTCAGGCAGATTCGTGGGTTCACACCGGTTTTCTGCCACATGGAAGAATGAGAGGTGTAGCAAATCGGAATCACACCCTCCCAGGTGCCCCCCTGTGAATGAACCCTAACCAGGGCAACAAAATTCCCATGGGATTTTCTGAGGGAGCCACTTCTTGCTCTGTTAGGGTGGCTCTAGTGACTTTCTCATAGAAAGTGGTGCAGGAAGCAGAGGCTTTTCTGATGCAGGTATAGGGAATTTTCTATTGGAAATGAAATGGCAACTAAGCATGAAGGCAAGCAGAGATAATGGTTTCCTTCTCTTGTTTCTCCCAGAATGTTCCGTGGATGAGGAGACAAGAGAAATATTAGTGGAAAGTAGAAACTGGCTTATTGAAAGGGAAGGAGAATAAAGAGATGCTGAAGTGTAGATTAACAATGTTCCTTTTGAGTATGATTTAAATGTAGTATTTGATTTGGCAATAAGTTCAAACCAATTGAAATTGGACACTGACGTTAATTCAATTCTGGATTTCATTATAGACATACAGTTATTAGGCTAATATCATCACTAGTGATTACTATTTAGTGTATCATTTGCTTCACAGCTTACAGAATAAGATAAGATCATGTAGATGTATACTTGCCCTTTAACTCCAATAAATTTTTGAGGGTCACAGCCAACACCAATCTGAAACACCTAAAAATGAAGTAATTTGGAGAGTGAGATCAGTTCATCTGGTTCAAGTGATCTAAGGTATTGCTGCAGCTAAAAGCAATGATGTTTTAGGCCTGGACTACAGAGTACTCCTTATCTGAAATGCTTAACATCAAGTATTTTAGATTTCTTATTTTATGGGTTTTGGAATATTTGCATGGATGTGAAAGTCTTAGACATAGGCTCCAAGTCTAGCCACAAAGCTAATTTGTTGCATATATAGCATATGCACATTGCCTGTAGGTAATTTAATAAAACACTTTAGTGTACCTGCATGTTTATTGTAATTCATAATACGAGATCATGTGAAAATTTCCTTTTGTCGTGTCACATTGGTGATCAAAAAGTTTTGGATTTTGGAGCATGTCAGGTTTCCAGTTTTTGAGGTAGGGAGGCTCAAGCTGTAATCCTTTAAATGTAGGATTTGCTCCACTGCTTTCTGCAGGTATCTCCCACCCAGTGGTAGTTTGACACCAGAAACCATAAAGTATAGTTGTTAAGCCCATCCCAAAATGGCTTCTGATGAACTCTCTCAAATATGGAGGGTGCTGCACTGGGTTTCTTCTCTAACTCTAGCTCTCTGTGTGGAAGGAGTCACTTCCAGAGCAAAACCCCATTCTGATTTTATTTTTAAAAAATATTTTTAGTAAGGGTCTACAGGGCCTCACTATGCAGATCAGACTTGTAGTGGTCCTCCTGTTTTCAGCCTCCCAAGAACTGGGATTAGAGGCGTGCCACCTCGCCCGGTCTCATTCGCCACCTCAGCACACCCTGGGGGCAGGGCCAGCATGGCAAGCTTGGAATCGAACCCCTGCTGCTGCGTCTGCCTAAGCAGGTGCTTTAATCTGCCGAGCTATTTGGCCAGCCCTCCTATTCTGATTTTGTGGCTTATAAGTCCTGCAGGCTTTCTTGGGGCTACCACAGCAGCTCAGTCCTGTTTCTTTTTGGAGCTCCTGTCTCAGGGATTACCTTTTGCCAGCAGAGACAGGAGCCAGGGGAAGCTTTCTAGCCTGCCTTGTTCTTTTCTCTGTGTTATGCCCTATTTCTTCAGCTTCTTTATAGTTTCTAGTTTTCCTGTTAACTTTCACTGGATTCCTGAGGATCTACTACTTTTGTTCTTTTCTCTCTCTCTCTCTCTCTCTCTCTCTCTCTCTCTCTCTCTCTCTCTTTATCAAGTTGTTGTTTTTCAGGTGTCTTGGTTCCAGGTCCCTGAGAGGCTATCTTTTGCTACTAGTCTCTCCTCTGTCATTTTTAATTGGCCTCTGATTAAAGAGATGTAGGTCCAGCTTCTTTTACAGGGAAATAACCAGTTTCCAAGCACCATTTGAAGCTATCTCTTCTCCAGCCTGTGTCTTTGACCCCCTTGTCAAAGATCAGATGTTTGAAGGTGGCTAGGGCTGTTACTTCATCTTTGGTTCAGTTCCATTGATCCACATATCTGTTTTGTGTGCTAGTACCATGCTGTTTATGTCATTATACCTTTAAAACAAAATGTGAAATCCAGGACTGTGGTATCTCCTGCTTTTTCTTGTTGCTTAGCATTGTTCTTGCTATTCTGGGCAAGACAAGAATGGAAATGGCTCTTAACTCAGAAATGTTGGTAAGTTGTAGTCATCCCTCCCTGGGAAAACTCATCTTGGAAAGAATTACTAAGGCCCCTTGGACTGGCCTGTATGTCTATATTTTCTTTTCTTAGTGTGTGTTTAAAAAATGTAGCTTTGTTGGAGTTGCCAACTCTTATTTGCTGCTCTGCTGGAACTCACACAGACCACATGACTGAAACAGCAGGTTCCACCAGGCTCAACAGGTGTCCAAATTCACACAACTGGTGAAGGCAGTGGGTCATGGTTCTGCATATAAACAGTTGGGGCCCATGTCTCTACTGTCTACCAGAGAGGCTGACAACTTGCTTGCTTATGAGTATGGGAATACAATGAAAGGGCGCTGTGGCTGATGGCATACTCTGTAGTTGTGCATAGGTTTTGCTTTGGCTGGCGCATGAGAAGAACATCTGCCTCTGTTGGACTACTTTTCCCTGTTACCTAAAAGGACCCTTGCACATTGCTCCATTTGATTTCAGTGGGTGGCCCAGTGTCAAGAGCCATCTAATCTATAGGGGATTAGACTTAAGCTTTCCTTGTCTAGGGGGTTCCAAAGAGGAAAAAGGAGGAGAAAAACAGTAATATTGTATAGTTACCCCATGACAGCAATGTTGTGGATACCTTTCATAAATAACCTCTTTAACACTCTCAACAGTGCCGTGAGATAGATGTTACATTTTTCCCTTTTCTAAGTGAGGCAAGTGAGCCTGGGTGTTCAGGGGTCTTGCCCGAGCCAGGGAGTGGTGGAGCTTGGATCTGCACTCAGTTTACGTGAACCTGCATATGAGGTGCCCGGGCTACAGGAAAGGGATCCCTAATGAGCGTATGGATTAGAGAAGGATGCAGGTAATCATGGCGCCTCAGGAAGGCATCCATAAGGGAACAGGTCAAGAAGCTGAAGGCGGAAAACACAGACCTGGGAAGGGACGGGCAATTGCAAGGTTGCAGGGTCTTGCTGCCTAAGCAGATGAAGCTAGGTGGGTCATGTGGTTGGCACACAGCAAAGCTGTTGGTACACAGGGACACATTATGTGCCACCAGTACTCAAGGGGAATCACAGCCGTGTCAGCTCAGAGCTCCCTTCTACCCTTAGCACCTTGCCCTGGTAGGAACAGGTGCCCTAGGCTGGTGCCAACTCACTTTGTAATCCCTACATAATAGCACAACGCCTGGTCCAGTGCTCAATATCTGTTTCCTGAATGCTAGTTAGGGTGAGAAGGAGTGGCATTCCTTCATGTGGATCGCAGACAAAACGTAAGTGGAGTTACTAAGAGTTTGCAGTTAACTTCATAATACTTAGAGATCGTGAACACATGGATGACACCACTGCATTCTGCTTTTGTCTGTACTTTGTCTTGAAATGTCCTTTGCACTGGCCTGCTGGACTTCCACTTATTCAGCAGCACTTGTTTAATATTTCACTTTCTTTTTACATGTTGCTTCCCAGTCAAAGCTGTGCACTCTTTCTCCTGGACTACGTGGTACCTGCATACACCACACTCCTTTAGGCTAACTTCTCATTCTGTTACCCCCTTACCTAGCACACAGAAATGTAGTAAGCATATTGCACATTTTTAAATGAATAAACAATTGGATCCCTTTGACTGAAGAAATGCAGGCTAGCTAGGGATATGACTGGCAGTTTTTGACAAACTACACCAAACTTTAGTTGTACCCATTAATTTTGATTTTCCTTTATAGTTAGATTTATCTTCAAACTTTCAAAAATTAATGTTTTTTATATTTTTGTAAGTGGTAATATGCTTCAGTTTATATGATAAATTTACAGAAAACAAAAATTCTATCTTCTGCTTTCAAAACAAAATAATACTCTCTTTATGATGAGACATTACTAAACAGAAGGAAGCAGCACTGGATGCCTCAGTTTGCCGTTACCTGTGGGACTCACCTTCTGGGTCACTGGACATACATTTGCATGTTGACTGGGCCGAAGTTGAACGAACACATTACCCATGTTCTTGTGTCTAGGAAAAACAGCCCAAACGGTCATTCAAGAATGATGACAGCAGTAGACATGACACTGTTTCTGTAGAGCAAATGCAGAGTCCATGCACATGATGCGACTGAAGCCCTGAGGGACTCCTGAGGGCTGGTGAGTGGTGCCAGCTGCCTGCTTGTGTGGTCACACTGTGAAGTGGGGTCCCCGCCTGTCGCCGTGTTTTGGCCATCATATCGTTGGGGCGTGGCAAAGAGAAAGAGCACCTTACCAGCCTTCTAAACTCTCTCCCCTGTTTTATGAACATCCTTATTCCCTGGACGCTCAAGTCCTGTGCTGCCAACTTGCCCCGCCTGTTCTGGATGATGGTGCTACAAGGTTGCAGCCACTACATCCATTCTAACCCCAGCCTTACTGGTTTCCTTTCTATTGGCATCGCCTCTGAAGGGTAGTTAGCTCCTAGATCTCACTAAGCTGCACCATACACTCTTTCCAGATGCAAAGGGAGGTCAGATACAACATCTTTATTGACTGTTCAGCAAACACAAATCATTCTGGGTTCAACATGAGAAGGCTGAAAACAACAAGCTTTGAAAGCTTGATTCACACTCTTAACTCTTATTTACTTTTTCAAAAACTGGTTTTACTTTTTGAAAATAGAAAACTGGGGGAAAACAAAACAAAATATCCTAAGCATTCTGCAGAAACACGATTCTCAGTAAGTATCTAAAAACCAAAAATATCCAAAAGAACTCACATCATTAGGAGGATAAAGAGAAAAGCCAGAAGGTGCAGGGCTTGAGCCTCTCTGGCTGCTTCACGAGACCTTTTTCTTCTTACCCTTCCTAGACACTACCGTCATGCATTAGTTTTCTTTTCTTAATATTACTTTTCAGTGTTTGGAATTATCCCATTAATTTGTTGCTTGCTGTTTCCCACTGGAGATATGTCCTGTGGCACCAGTGTGCCTCTCATCCTTCTCGTACTTACCCTTTTCCTGTTATTTTGAGTGTCTAGAGATTGCTTGGCACACTGTGGGTACTCAAACGTTCTTGGAGTAGTACCAGACTAAACAAAAAATAGACTTATTTTCCAAGGCAAAAATGCGTTTTTTCTGGAAAATACTGTGAGATCATAATGATAATCGCAAAACACCTTCACACAGGGCTCTGATTTGGGTGTGTTTTCATTGTGTCCCCATACCCTAAAGGTTCATTTAATTTGAGATTTGATTGACATGATGGTAAAACTGGGAGGTGCTGTAGAGACTTTTATGGGGTGGGCCTTGTGGGAGGCCTCAGAGGGGAGGGGGAGTGAGGTGGTTCCTGCTGGAGAGCTGTCCTTAAAGGAGCAAGCCGGGCCCCATCCAGCTCACTTTGCTTCCAGTTTCAGGCATAAACTACTTGCTCCTACGTGTACTCTCACCCTTGCTGTCCACTGCGAGGTGATGCACACCAGGGGTAGCCCTCACCAAGCCTGTGCTCTGCAGTCTGGACCTTCAGTTTCCAAAACTGTGAGCTGAATAAACCTCTTCTTCAAAAGTAGCCTGTGTCAAGTACTTTGTCATAATAACGAAAAGCTGACTAATACACACAGAATTGTCTTTCTACAGAAATCAAGTACCTTAGGGTCACCTTGTCCTAAAGTCAAAGATGATGTTGTAGCTGACTTCACTCATAAAGACTTCCCATGATGTTACATATTATAGTTTGGATCTGACTATAACCTGCAGACCCGTAGTTTGAAGGCTTGGTTCCTATGCAGCAGTGTTCAGAGGTGAGGCTTTTAAAAATGACTGCATCATGAGGTCTCTGTCCTCCTCCCTCAATGGTGGGTTATTTGATCAGATATTTGGAAGCTATAGAAACTTAGGAGGTGAGACCTAGTTGAAGGAAGTGGGTCCTTGGGAGCGTGCTCTTGTGTCACTGTTTTCTGTCTCTACCTCTTTGTCTGTCTTTCTGTCTCAAATTCTCTATCCTGGCTGCCTTGAAATGAGCACCTTTTACTTTTAAAAATTGTGTTATGTATTTGGTACAGGGCCTCCCTATGCAGCTTGGACTCGTAGTGATCCTCCTGTCTCAGCCTCCCCAGTGCTGGGATTGCAGGAGTGTACAACCACATCTGAACTCTATGGCTGGCTCGGCGTGCCCTGAGGTAGGGGCCAGTGTGGCATGAGGTGCCGGGGATCGAAGCCCGGTCCCTGCTCTTGCCTAAGCTCCTAAGCAGGACCTTAGTCCGCTGAGCTATCTCACCAGCCCAATCAGTAGCTTTTATTTGCCACACTCTTCTGCTGTGAAATATTTTCTTACCACAGTCCCTAAAAAATGAAATTTAGTGATCATGGAATGGAACCTTGGAGCCAAAGCCAACTTTTCTTCTTTAACTCATCTCAGGTATTTCTATCATAGCACTGGGAAGCTGACCCTTTAGTGTCTTGCTTTTGCTTAAGGGTAGGATGCAGAGACATTGAGGGGGGAAATAATGATAAATCATGCATGACGTCTACTAAATTAAGAAGGAGACTTGCTTTGGTTTGGGCAAATATCCCCAAAGCACTGTATGTTTAAAACTTGTTTCCAAGGATGGTGCTTTTGGGAGCTGATAGACCTTTAGGAGACATTATGGGAGGTGAACTTGCAAAGAAGATTTGACTAATGTCTTCTTTGCTGCTGCATTCATTACGTGAGAGATTTGCTCTCCTCTGGGCTCCTGTCACACTGTGCAGCCTTGCCAGACACCCATAAGCATCACGGCCTCTCACTCATGGGCCTGTACCTCCAAAACAATGAGCCCAAACCAACGTTTTCCTCATCATAAGATAATGGCCTCAGCTATTTGTTCTAGGAGGAAAGGGGACCAATGTAGGCCCTTTGTCTGCATTTTCATTAGGGTGAATGACAACCTCCAGCTAGGTCATTTTCTATTAACTACAAGGACTATTTCATATTTTTATACAGTTAAATAGTAATTTCACATCAATATCCATTTTAAATTGTGAAATTTAAAGGGTAATGAGGGCAGTAAAATAAAAAA